TACATAATAATTCTTTCTTTCTGTCCTCCACTTCCTTCTTTTTTCTCAGTCTGTGTTTTTTTTTTTACCTTTGGCCCACTCTGGATATCAGCTTTGGACATCAACTCCGAGAATCCCTGGTAACTGGCCATGCTGGCTGGGACTCCTAAGGGTTGAGTCAAGAACAGTTGGAGACTCAAAGGTTGAGAAACATTGCTACAGACAGACAGACAGACAGACAGACAGACAGACAGACAGACAGACAGACAGACAGACAGACAGACAGACAGACAGACATGAAAATAGGGGTGTGCCATTTGGTTTGGTTTTCCTATGTTCTTGGACTCCAACCCCCAGAATTATCCAAGACTTCCCCAAGCAGAATTCTGGGAGTTCTTGCCCATAGACACATACCTAGAAACACCTGTGTTTCATTTACCTGGAACAAGGCCTATCTTTGTGGGAGTCTTGCTGCTCATTAGGTTCTGTGTAGATTACCCTGAAGAACTGCATCTTCCACAAAGACCTAAACCTTCCAAGAAGCACTGCGGCCATTTCCTTTTTTGGGGAAACTATTCGTTTTCATTGAAGAGATTACACAAATGTTTTTCTCTCTTTCTACAGTCATCCTTCAATTATTTCTCTCCCACTATGCAGCTAATGGACTGCATCCTTCCGGTACAGATCTTATGGCATTAGATCTAAAATGTTTGGGGGGCTAAAATGTCTTAATCTGCAATAGAATGACTTGCAACAGGAACTTAAGAAGTCAACCACAAAAACCTCATTACTTGAAAGATTTCTAAAGGGTGACACATAATAAAATGTGGAAATTGGTCTGCTTTTGCACAAACCTGTCAAAGAACAATCACATGCTTACAATACCACAATTATGTGCTTACCTTATCCTGTAATTGCAGATAAATTCAATTCATACGCACTCATGACAAAAATGGAGTGTGATGTGTGAAAACTACATGCAAGATGTAGGGGTGTTCCTCTTTATTAAGCATCCCTCTAGTAACCTGGCTTATTCTTCCAGTTCTTGTTAGCATATTTCTTAGACGTTTTGGGAATGTGGTGGGGCTCAAAAGAAAGTCAAACCTTTCCCAACTTCTTTCAATTGATAAATATGATAATTATCATTTCGATGGTCAACTTATTCATATACTACCTCTTATGTCATTGGTTCACCTGAGGCTGACAATGGAAGAAAGCTTGAATCACATGCATCAAAGATAAGTGAACTGACCCAAAGAGTTAAAAAAAACCCACTCTTTTTCAAAATGGGTAGCTCTTCTTGAGGATGGAAAGATCTCCTATTAAAATATCAAGCTTCCTTCTAAGTGTACCTTCAAAGGGGACGTGACTCAGTTCTTCTGCTTTGCCACTTCACAGAGCAAATACGGGCCCTTTGTTTTGTTGTGATCTGCTTTTAAAAAAATTACGTCACCCTCCAAACAACCTTAAACTGAGAATGAGAAACCATAGCTGAGATTGATGCTAATATAGTTCCCAAGGTATTTATATATACAAATGCTCTAAAAAAATCCCTCAGCTCTTTGCAACAGCAAAACAAGGATAAGGGAAAGGGATTTAATTTAGATTAACTGTTTGTCCAGCTGCAGAACAAGAGAGATAACATGCTCTGGAAAATAAAGTAGAATCAGTAAAGGGAATAAGAAGGAATGGGACTGGAATGTGAATAAAAGGCCTGTACCTGTTAAAATCAAAATTATGAGTACTTAGGTGTTGGATTACACACATCAGCAGGAAGAGAATGATGACTGAGGGCATTTGGGGAGCAATTTGGCATATGTATATCAAGCCCTGAGGAACATTCTTTGGCAACATTTTGAAATGAACTCATGAATCCCTTATCTGCTCTTTAGATACAGAGCTGATGATTGAGAATACATTTTTTCATCCCTTCTAATATGTGATAGCTGCACAGTTTAAAGTAAGCCTATTAGAAACTAAAGAAACTTAATTGTCATTTAAGGTAATTAGTAATTGGTGCTGGATTCTCTGTAATTAGGGCAGCCACTCATGGATTGTCAAAGAAATGAGAAATGCCTCATCAAAGCGAGAAGCAGGGGAGAACATTATTAAATGATAAAATAAATTTGCATAAAACTGGCAAGTGCTATTTTATCTCTATAAAAACAAATTTTGAAATAAGATCTGAAATCCTCTTGCACATTTACACAAATAGTGTAACTTTTAGAGCTGTATTTCCATAAATTAAGAAATCTATATAGGCATTATCTGTTGCACACCAAATTATGCAGCAGATTTCTTAACTGCACAACAGAATTTCAGCTAATACCCACAACTTAATCAGAAATACCATGCATGCCACCATAGCAGGGAACACTATGACCATTTGGTTTGAATGACTCCTCACCCTACTGCTAAAGTACAAATTCTCAAGCATTCTTAATTTTGTTTTCAGTGGATTTGGACTGGACAGGTCTCAAATAGAGGATGCTATCAGCTTTCTGTTAGAGTACTGTTCACTATAAGGAGTAGGCGACTGTGTAGAATCTGGGGGCTGCACCATGCCATTTTGCACCACTCCTGGGTCTAGTTTTCCTCCGATGAGCACAAGGTTATATAGAGGGTTCTCCTCCTTCCCATTCAGTCCTCACCACAATCCTGTGCTGACAGTGTGCTTCTGAACTAAGGTCGCTGCTGAGTTTCATATTTGAATGGGAAATCAAACCCAAGTCTCCCAACTACTTGCCTGAATATTATCTGGCAACTGGACTTCTTCCTTATTAGGTTGAAATGTTTCGCTACTCATCCAAGTAGCTTCTTCAATCTGAGGAGAGTTGGTAGAAGACCCCTGATATCTCCTCCAGGTTGGTTTAACTTTCCCCTGGTCTGAATAGAAGGACAAAGGACTGGGGGTGAGTGAAAATCTCACTTCTGCAGTCCTTCTCCACCCATTGTCATGGGTGGTTAACGATTGTTAACAGTGGTCTTTCTGGTATATGTGGTCCTAATCTTCCTGGGGACTGATGAACGAACAGCATGATAAATAAGAGACAGATTGTATCTAAGGCTCCACCCCTTTTGTGTGAGGGATTTTCTATATACACATGTATGGCTTCCCTGACCCCTCTCTCAAACCACCATGAGAAGAAATCCATGTGCCATGACTCAACTTCCAGGTAACCTCACCTGGATGACTGAGAATCTTCACAGATACAGTATAACACAGAAGTGAGTACACCCCCTGACAGTTCATAAATATTTTAGTTTATCTTTTAATGTGGCAACACTGAAGAAATGACACTCTGCTATAATGTGTAATGCATTGAGTATACAGCTTGTATAACAGTGTAAATGTACTGGCCCCTCAAAATAACGCAACACACAGCCATTAATGTCTAAACTGCTGACAACAAAAGTGAGTACACCTCTAAGTGACAATGTCCAAATTGGGCCCAAGTAGCAGTTTTCCCTCCCTGGTGTCATGAGACCCATTAGTGTCACAAATCTCAGGTGTGAAGAAGGAACAGGTGTTATCACTCTCACTCGCTCAGACTGCTCACTGGAAGTTCCACATGATACCTCATGGTAATGAACTAGGAGCTGAAAAAATGAATTGTTGCTCTACATAAAGACGGCCTAGGCTATAAGAAGATTGGCAAAAACCCTGAAACTGAGTTGCAGTATGGTGGCCAAGACCATACAGCGGTTTGACAGGACAAGTTCCATTCAGAACAGGCCTCACCATTGTTGACCAAAGAAGTTGAGTGCCTGTGCTCAATGTCATATCCAGAGGTTGGCTTTGGGGAATAGACGTATGAGTGCTGCCAGCATTGCTGCAGAGGTTGAAGGGGTGGGGGTGGGGTCAGCCTGTCAATGTGCAGACCATATGCCGCACACTGCATCAAATTGGTCTCCAGGATTGTCGTCCCAGAAGGAAGCCTCTTCTAAAGATGATGCACAAGAAAGCCCACATAGGGTTTACTGCAGACAATCAGACTAAAGATATGGATTTCTGGAACCATGTCCTGTGGTCTGATGAGACCAAGATAAACTTATTTGGTTCAGATGGTGTCAAATGTGTATGGCAGCAACCAGGTGAGGAGTACAAAGACAAGTGTGTCATGCCTACAGTCAAGTATGGTGGTGGAAGTGTCATGGTCTGGGGCTGCATGAGTGCTGCCGGCACTGGGGAGCTACTGTTCATTGAGGGAACCATGAATGCCAACACGTACTGTGACATACTGAAGCAGAGCATGATCCCCTCCCTTCGGAGACTGGGCCGCAGGGCAGTATTCCAACATGATAACGACCCCAAACACACCTCCAAAACAACCACTGACTTGCTAAAGAAGCTGAGGGTAAAGGTGATGTACTGGCCAAACATGTCTCCAGACCTAAACCCTCTTTAGCATCTGCATGGTATCCTGAAATGGAAGGTGGAGGTGTGCAAGGTCTCTAACATCCACCAGCTCTGAGATGTCATCATGGAGGAGTGGAAGAGGACTCCAGTGGCAACCTGTGAAGCTATGGTGAACTCTATGCCCAAGAGGGTTAATTATTATTATTATTTATTTAATTTATACCCCGCCTATCTGGTCGGTGAGGACCACTCTAGGCAGTGCTGGAAAATAATGGTGGCCACACAAAATATTGACACTTTGTGCCCAATTTGGACATTGTCACTTAGGGATGTACTCACTTTTGAGGCCAGCGGTTTAGACATTAATGGCTCTGTGCTATGTTATTTTGAGGGGACAGCACATTTACACTGTTACACAAGCTGTATACTCACTGCTTTACATTGTAGCTGAGTGTCATTTCTTCAGTGTTGTCACATGAAAAGATATACTAAAATATTTATGAAATGTCAGGGGGTGTACTCACTTCTGTGATATACTGTATATATTGTCTGAATATTATCCAGTATATAAAATCTGTCACATAAACACATCTACAGATTTATGACTGAAAATAGAAACAAATAAGTCATACTCTTAGCATCTGCGATAGCAACTTCACTTTTAATTTTTTTTGATCTGACAACATATGTATTGCAACAGCAGCAGGCAAATGTATTATGTAGCTATGATTAAGAAACAGAAATCAAAGAAAAATGAAGGCACTAAACCAAACCCATGCTTCATCAAATAGCTCTGCAGTCCTATGCATGTCTATCCATAATAAATAGGTCATTTTAATGGCCATACTTCCATGTACATGTCTAGAGGATTTCAGTGTAAATTGTTAAATGGATTCTGCAAATATATTCATTTTAACAGCTCCTTCATTGAAAATTTCTCCACAAATTTTATATCCAGACCCAGAATAGATTAAACTGTTTGAAACACATACATACAATAAATTGTCAATTGCTTAAGCCATTTAGAATACAGGTAAATAATATCATATAAGAAAGCAGAAGAGCTCAGTTATGTTATGCATGCTGCATTCTACATTATAGCTCATTTAATGTTTTCTGGAGGATCGAAATAGAACTCTGTAAAAAGTGTATTAAAAAGATGATTACTGTTAGTGATGCTTGTTTGAATGCACAGAGAGATATAACTCATTCATTACTATCTATTGTCTCAGCCACTTTCTGCAATAATTATGTGTGAAGAATATATCTACATTCTGGCAGATGTGGTTTAAATACTTTAAATGTTTATTGATTTAAAAATGGTAATAGTTTAGAAAAATATAAGGAATAGAAAATGTCAGCCAAGTTAAAGACATAAAATCTTTAAGGAAATGTCTTTCTTAACAGGTAAAATCTAATATATCAAATGTCAATCCAAAATAAGAGGGGTATAAATTAAACAAAATATATTGTATTAGGATTATATAATAAAAAGTGACTGTTAACCATCTTTACCTAAGGCCACTGCACCACAGAAGTATGGTGCAGTGCATTTTAGCATTCGTACATTAAAATACTCCCACTGACATTTTGTTAAATTTATAAAAATAGGTTTTATATAAATTAAGTGAAAGTATCTTTTCACTTGCAGATTTATGGGAAACCATTCTTCATTCCTTCCACTGGTATCATTCACAAACCTGGAAAACATTTATAAAAAGAAACAATAGATATAATGTACGATTTAAAAGTTCAAAAACTAGTATCAAATTAGTTAATTTTCTTGCTTTTAAGGATTGTACTGATAGTGGTGGGGAAAAGCAAGGGATCTGCAAAGTAGTATGAAGGAAGTTGCAAACATCAATCTGAGGTTACTGTGACTTCAAAGATAATATTAAAAGTATGTTCTGGTCCCAATAAGCAAATCTTACTTTCCGACATTTAGTGTGATCACATTGCCTTTCTGTCTATAGACTTTTAATAAAGAAAAGCTGAAAATCTGGTTTGTGATGAAGCTGGCTAGACACAAGATGTTCAGTGAGGCCACTGTTATAATGTAGCAGTGAAAAGCAATGCATGTCTGCACATGAAGTAGCAGTGAATAGTGTCAGTGGTTTTGCGTTTACGCTGGGAAATGAGTACCCTCCAGATATTGTTAGACTGCACCATCCATGAGTCCTACCTAGCATAGACAATGATGGGAAATGATGGAATTTACAGTCCAACAGAATTTGGAGGATCCTGGGTCAGGTTGCTGCATGTGCATATGTGCATGGGGTGGTGGTTTTAGTGTTCCATGGGAACAGTTGGTACCAAAGCATGCTAGCTGATGGCTAGAAGGTGGAAACACAGGCACAACTCACTGTTCAGGTTTCACTTGTTGACTGTCAAGTTTATTTCAGGTTCACCTAAATATATGAAGTAGCTGATTAAAGAAAATCAAAAGCAAGGCAGTACTAACGTTATAGGTTCACTAAAATATATATCTTGTGTAGTATCACAATTATATTTAATTTTTTACACTGTTATTTTCATAATGACTAAGTAAGACAATGAAAACTGAACAACATCATAAATTATTGTGGGATTCAGAAATTAACAAAACACTTTTCAGAATACAGGAAATGGAACTCTCTCCTGAAAGCCTGGAATACCATTTATCTGGCTGGGACAGGCCAGAAAGAGGCAGTAGAGAGATAGCCCATAATTGGGCTGAAACATCTGTTAGTGTTGCAGAGGGGTTACTGAGACAGTCTTTGGGGATGTGTGAAATTGAACTACAAAGAAACCCAGTACTTAAATTTTGCAGACAGATGACTAAACAAAGGAATCTAATTTGCATATTCCAGGGAAAGAGGAGGCTCTTGCTGTAACAGTCACTTATATTAGCTCAAGGGGCTCATCTTCTGATCACTGGCGTGTTTCTGACCTTAGTCTAAAGGTCAGGTTAAACATTTATATCTCCAATAGGGTTTATCAGTGTCTGAATATTTAGCTCTAGAATCAGGATGAATTTGGAACCATTCCATCACAACTTTAAAATGAAACTTAAAATGACATTTTCACTGCACATGTAGATAAAATGGTTAAATTACTCTGCATCCCATTTCATTTTTGATGGAAGTACACTTATCACCTGATTTTGTATTTCAACCAAAGTTGAATAATTACATTGTTGCTCTGGAGAACATTGCAATCACAGTACCAAAGTCATAGGCTAAAATCTGAAGATAAATGGGTAATCCAAAAGTTACACTGACAAAACGATGTTTACATTTTATGATACAAAAAGTGTTCTATGCTTGAAAAGTCTGCAATTATTATTTCATTAATTAATGCTGTCTAATTTATAGCTGAGGTGAATTTGAATACACTTTTCACACACACACACACACACACACAGAGAGAGAGAGAGAGAGGGGGGGGTACCAACTGCCTTTACCAGGCAACAAAACGATGTTTACATTTTATGATACAAGAAGTGTTCTATGCTTGAAAAGTCTGCAATTATTATTTCATTAATTAATGCTGTCTAATTTATAGCTGAGGTGAATTTGAATACACTTTTCACACACACACACACACACACACAGAGAGAGAGAGAGAGAGAGAGAGAGAGAATACTAAAATCACTTTACCAGGCATCTTCTGGTAAACCCCTGCAAACAATGGCTACTTATTTGCCATCCAGCATTATGATATCATCTCATTCACAACATTATTCCTCCTTGGGGATTATACAACACATGACTAATCCAGAAAATAGGAAACATGGCAGAAGGGGATGTAATGGCAATAGTCTTTCTTACCCGAAGGAGCATATTTTCCTTTATCTGCCTATTTAAGATTAGCATCCAAAGCCCTCTTCTATATGCCCTCACCAAATCAAGCAAGGCAAGTGACTGAAAGAAACAGCATCTTTCTAGTGTTCCCCCTTGCCGTCAGTGAGACACTCATTAGGCCTAGCCAGAAAAAAATCCAGTCTGGCAGCTGATGATATTAACAACTATTGTCCGGTCACCAATATCCCCTTTATTAGCAAGCTGGTGGAGAGAGTGGGGGCCGATCAGCTTCAGGCTCTCCTGGAAGAGACCAATGCCCTTGATCCGTTCCATTCCAGGTTCAGGCCACATCATAGCATGGAGACAGTGGTGACCGCCCTGCAAGATGACCTCTTGAGGGAGGCCAACAGGCAAAACGTCCTTGCTGTTCCTTCTCAACCAGATGACCTCTTGAGGGAGGCCGACAGGCAAAATGTCCTTGCTGTTCCTTCTCCACCTTTCAGCGGCCTTTGATACCGTTGACGACGATATCCCCCTGGGGAGGCTCTTGGGGTTGGGGACTGCTGGTTAGGCTTTGGCCTGGCTCCAATCCTTCCCTGAAGACTGTCTTCAGAGAGTTCAGCTTGAGGAGATGTTGTCCGCTCCTTGGACTCTCAATTGTGGAGTCCCGCAGGGGTCAATCATCTCCCCAATGCTATTTAATATCAATGTAGGACAAGGCTAGAGCGCAAGTGGAGGAAGAACCCGACGGGTTACAACTGGATAGCTGTCAGGTCGCGACTAACCTTTACCTGGCTAAGGTGAAGGCTGCTGCTCGAGCATACTTCGCTAACCGGATAAGCGAAGCATCCAACCAGCAGGCGGAGCTATTCCGTATAGTGTGCGACCTATCCGGAATTGGTCTGAGTGATGGGCCTCACACTAGTTTTTCCTCTGAGTGATGGGCCTCCCACTAGTTTTTCCCCGGACCAACTTGCAGCATTTTTAAAAACTAAAGTGGAGGCCATCCGCCGGCCTCTCTCCTTTTTTGAATACAATGAGTCGAGCAGAGATGTCCAGTGCACTGCCTTGTCCAGTGATCCTCGATCGCTTTCAGCCTGTGACGCCAGATGCTGTAGACAAAGTGCTTGATCGCTGTTGTGCCACCACCTCCTCCCTTGACCCTTGTCCAGCCTGGCTAATCAAAGCAGCCAGGCCGACAATGACCGAATGGGCCACAGCGATAATTAATGGGTCTTTCCTTGAGGGCAGGGTTCCCCCTGCCCTCAAGGAGACACTCATTAGACCCATAAGAAAGAAACCGAATTTGGCGGAGGATGAAATTGGCAACTACAGGCCCGTTGCCAATGTTTCTTTCATTAGTAAAGTGGTCGAGAGGATGGTGGCTGATCAGCTTCAGGCTTTTTGGATGAAACAGATGCCCTGGATCCGTTTCAGTTGGGCTTCAGGCCGTGCCACGGTACAGAAACGGCATTGGTCGCCTTGTACGATGACCTGTTGAGGGAGGCTGACAGGGGTAAAATATCTCTGTTGATCCTTCTAGACATCTCGGCAGCCTCTGATACCGTCGACCACGGTATCCTCCTGGGGGGGGGCTCTCTGAGTTGGGAATTGGTGGCCTGGCGCTTGCCTGGCTCCGTTCCTTCTTGGGGGACCGGCCCCAGAGAGTTCAGCTTGGGGAGAGTGTCTTGGCCCTGTGGAATCTCAACTGTGGTCGATTATCTCCCCAATGCTGTTTAATATCTATATGAAGCAGCTGGGTGGGGTCATCAGGGGGTGGGGGGGCATCGTGTCATCAGTATGCTGATGACACACAGCTCTACATCTCCTTTTCACCAACTGCAGGTGATGCCGTTCTGTCCCTTCACCACTGCCTGGGACCGTACTGCAATGGATGCAGGAAAATGGGCTCTCCCCCCTCACTGAACCCAGACAAGATGGAGATCCTGAGGGTGGGTGCCCCCACTATTGGCGGCTTGGGTGACTCCCTCTTGTTTGGGGGGATGACCCTTGCCTCAAAGAGTGGGTTTTGCAGTCTGGTGATCTATCTGGACCTGGCGCTCACCATGGAGACTCAGATGGTCCGCACCGCCTTTTTTCATCTTTGGCGGATAGCCTGGCTGCGATTCTATCTCGATGTGGGAGCGCTCACTACCTTGGTTCATGCGCTTGTAATCTCGAGATTAGACCACTGTAACGCGTTCTACGTGGGGCTACCTTTGAGGCTGATGTGGAAACTCCAAGTGGTGCAGAATGCGGCGGCCAGACTCCTTAGCGGAGCGAGAAAACACCATCACATTTCTCCTATTCTGGCTGCGTTGCATTGGCTGCCCATTCGGTTCCGCGTTGACTTCAAAGTCTTGATGCTTACTTTTAAAGCCCTAAACGGTTTAGGGCCTCGATACCTGGCGGAACGCTTACTCCCACCCAGTTCTACCCGTGTCACTCGTGTGAGTCAAGAGGTTAGGCTGAGGAGCCTGACGCCGAGGGAGGCTCGGAAGGAAAAAACAAGAAACCGGGCCTTCTCAGCGGTGGCTCCTTGCCTCTGGAACAACTTGCCTCAGGAGATTCGCGCGGCTCCCGGGCTGGGTATTTTAAAGAAACAACTGAAAACATGGATGTTTAGGTGGGCCTCCCCCCTTCCAGTTAATTTCTAATTTTCCTCCCCTCTTTTTCTGTTATAATTTATTTTGTTTCCTTGCCATATTGGAGAATTTTTTTTAAACAGTGTAAGCTATGTTATATATATATTTGTTTTATATTTTGTGTTGTAAGCCACCTAGAGTGGTCGAAATGACCAGATAGGCGGGGTATATTGTGTTTGTATTTGTGTTGTAAGCCGCCTAGAGTGGTCGCAATGACTAGATAGGCGGGGTATAAATGGAATAAATAAATAAATAAATAAATAAATAAATAAATAAATAAATAAATAAATAATATATGAGGCTGCTGGGGGAGGTCATCAGGGGTTTTGGAGCTTTGGGTAACCAATACATGGATGACACTCAGCTCTATCTCTACTTTCATCCTTTTGCAGTGGATCCTGTCCTGTCCCTTAGTGCTGCCTAGATGCGGTGCTGGGATGGATGAGGGAAAACAGACTGAGGCTGAACCCAGACAAGATGGAAATCCTGCAGGTGAGGGTCCCGAGTGTCTGTGGTCTGGGTGCCTCTCTATATTTTGGAGGGGCACTCTTTCCATTAATGATGAGGTTTGTAGCTTGAACGTGCTTTTGGACCCATCACTATCAATGACATCTCAGATAGCATCTGCTCCAATCTGCTTATTTTCACCTAAAGCAGATCACCCAGCTACATCCCTACTTTGACACCGGGTCCCTCACCACGCTGGTCCATGCACTGGTAGTTTTGAGATTAGACTATTGCAATGCCCTCTACGTGGGGCTGCCCTTGGGACTGCTACGGAGACTGCAACCAGTACAGAATGTGGCAGCCAGACTTCTGAGAGGGGTTAGAAAATAACAACATATCTCCCCCACCCTGGCCACCTTACACTGGCTTCCTGTTTGCTTCCATACCAGTTTCAAGATGATGGTACTAACCTATAAGGCCCTAAATGGTTTGGGACCTCGATATCTGACTGAGTGCCTCCTTCCAGTTAAGTTTGTCCATCCTATAAGATTGTTGCAGGCAGAGCAGCTGAGAGTTCTGACCCCGAGAGAGGCCCAGAAAACAACCACTAGAAACCGGGCCTTCTCGGTGGGAGCACCACAATTATGGAACCATTTCTATCATTCTATCATATATTCTTCTATGCTTTTAATTATATTTATTGTATTGTAATTTTATCCTCACTGCACTTTATGATTTTTTATTATTTGCCCCTATGTATTGATGTTGTTATTTGCTATTTTGTTACTTTGTTGTTTTCTGTTATTTGTTGTAAACTGCCCAGAGTGGCCTTGGCTGCCAGATGGGGGGTATATAAATCAAATAAAAAAATAAAATAAATATAAATAAATACCTCCCCGATGGAATGTTCTTTCCAGAGAAGCTCACCTGTTGTTTATGTACTGATAAATGCTGTAAATTATTCCCCCATATATTTTACTGTTTAGTACTATTTTGCTAGTGATTTTACTTTCATCTCATATGCTGGGTTTGTTTTACTTCTTGTTGCAGCTTTTAAATTTAAAAAAATCTCAAAGTCAGATTTCTATTGTGCAGTAGTCAACAATGACATTCTCTTTCCCAAATACCTGGATTGGTAGCTGTGTCTTCTCTCCCTGTTCAAAATCAGTTTACACCTGGACTGTTATTATCTTGAAACTGAAGAATGTAGTAAATATTACCTGCAAGTAATTTATTAAATGCTAAGCCAAAGAACACCTGTTGCATGTGAAGAGTAATACTACAGTTCTTCTGCTCCCAGTCATAAATTATGAACCTTCATTCCTCTAAGCACTAAATCACATATATAGTGTCCATGCAGATTTGTAAATCATTTATTAACTTTCCATAGAACAGGAGCAAAGGATGACATTACACTGGTCTATACTGTATATTGCTGGGTCCTTCAGCTGCAGTGTGCACTGAGACCTGGCATTATACATTTCCTACCTTACAAACATTTCAGCACCTGGATATTGGCAGCCTACATTTTCCAGGAATGGGCCCTCATTGTGAGCCTGGCTAAAAGAACTGCATTCCAAAAACAGACGGCAGCTATTACCCCATATAATTATATTTATAAAGGCTTATTCCTTCAACTAATTTGCCATTCTTATATTTCACTTGCAGCACAATATCAAACATTTTTTGGTTCTCCTTATATGGTTAATATAGTAGAAAATTGAAAAAGGTATTAATGAAAATTGGAATATAGGTTTAACTCAAGATGTCAGTCTGTTGTTGCAGGAAGGTAACTATTATTTTAATTATAGTGTTTTTACCCTTCTCTGTCTTTAGTGTCACAGGTTCAAACGGAAGTAGACAGTTTTGTACATGACACCATGAAGTAGATTTTATAATTATTCAGTGGGCTGGACCCATTTTGGAGCATAACACTGGAATGCTTTACTAATATAAATATTATCTCTTAGAGTGAAAGTATTCACTTGTTCTTTATGATAATCTCCATATATAATTAACATTTGCTATTTCAGCACAAACAAATTGATTCAAAGAGTTTAAGATGAAACAAATAAACATTTTAGATACTAAGCAGCAAATCAAGTCTTAAGATTTTGCACTGACACAGAACACGATAAAATATGTAATAACAACACATTGCCATTTTATCAGTCTGGCAATTTTCTTTGATTTAATGAAAACAACCTATGAAATGATTTCAAACTGTAACATACGCCAATTCTCCCAGGCATGTTCAATGATTCTATGGAAATAATCTTGAGAAATGGTGAACTGGTGACAGACAGGCATGGGTTTCTTGCGGTCTTTGACAGGATGGGCCCATACACTGCATGCACCACACACTCTCTTTTTGTGGGCTCTTGTTGTCTGTTGCTAATTTCAGTGGACGATTTCTAAAATTAAGTGCTTTAGCACATAAACTCCCCACATCCTTACGATAAAGAAGAAGATGCACACTCTCTGCATGGCTGAAATTTTCTAGCCACTAGAAAATTTGCTGTTGTCCTCTTCTGCAGGCACTTTTCCAAGACTCCATATTGTTGCCTAGCAACAGTATGGAGTCTTGGAAAGAAATTATTCTGACTCAATTTGCAGCTCGCTTAGACCATATAAATGTATAGTAATAGTAATGCAGAGATTATTTCTAAGAGTGGTTGGACTGAAAGACTCCTATGGGTTGAAAACAGTGACTGAGAAGAAACAGCCTTTGGTCTCAAAGTGAGTCAAGCCCCCAAGAGGAAATGACAGCTCTAAACCACCCATATCAAAATTATATAGAAGACATGAATGCCCCAGACAAAGAGTCATCTCAGAGGATAGACCTCATGTAGAGAGGTCATATAGATTAGATCACCTTGTTTTGTTTTTGTACTGCAAGAATTGACTGGAGGTCTGCAAAAACAGTCAGCCAGGAATGGTCTACAATTTCATAACAATCTCCTTCTTCCTCTAAGTGAAGTGGCACTTTACATTCCATTGATGGGCAACATTCCAAAAGCCATTTCTGATAGGAGAGGGTGGAACACATTAAGTGGACACATGATTAACAAAGGGCTAGATCATTTTAGTCAGCCTGACCAGAAACCAGATAAGAAGAAACATGGTAGTTACATTTACTGTTCTTGCCCAAGAATTCCCTCATGTTCCAATTGGAGTTTCAATGTTCCTTTTTTTCCTATTTAAATATTTTATTTCTAAACTACTATGAATAGGGTAGGGAATACAAAAGGTAAAAGGAAGTGTAAGGGATGGGGAAAGGGTTTTAAGGATAGGAGAACACAGAGTATGCAATCATCCCATCTATTCATATTAGGTATACATGCATCTGATCTATTCATTTTTCAATGCAAAAAACAACTTTGTTTGGTTATCCTCTAAATATCAGCTTATATTCATGTTTTAATTTAAATCTAAGTTATTCCAACTCTATCAGGAAATCGAGACCAATTATAAAATACATCCCCTCTTTCAATTTCCTTCTGTCTTGGACGTACATTCAGCCTGCCTGGAAAGATATCCATTTCTAGCACTTCCCATATTTTCTCAATACCCTTCTCTTGTTTCTGTGACTCTATTTTCTTCCACTTTTGAGGAGATAAAATTGAACCCAGGACAGTAGTCTGATTTTTAACATCACCTTTTCTATTATAGCTGAGTAGCTCACAGGGTAATTCTTAATCTCATCTATGTTACCTGGCATCGCTCTCAATAAAAACTGTTCTGGAGTTTCATTTAACTGTTGTTTAACCTCTGATGGTTTCCCTTTCATCAGGTCTTCTACCTGGTTGAGGTGCTCATTTACCTGTTGAAATCCTGTTATTATTGTCATTTGCATGGTAACCAGCCATTCTTTATCTGGCAAATTTCCCAACCGTTGATATTTAAAATTTTCGGAGGTCATTTCCATCTTTCCAATATATATGGTTTGTATAAATAATTTTTTTTTATTCCACTATTTTATCAACAAACCAAACCCATCATCATAAACCTCCCCTAGGTATGTCCTCCCCTCCTTGCCCAGATATTATAGCAATATTATCAAAATCCACACAGTCCAACCAAGAGAAAGTCCAAGAGCCAGTCTCTCAAAAAAAAAAAAAAATCGTCGTAGTCCTTTAATAACTCCAGTCCTGATTTTCTTAGGTCCTCCGTCTATTTATTTAAATAAATAGAGTTTCAATGTTCCTCAGCTCCAAGACAGAGTAATGATACTAAGGAGAGGTAATCTTTTCCACCTGTAATCTATCTTCCACCACTATTTTTCCCTCACACTGGTGGCTCCCCAATCTATCCTCCTTTCATGTGTGTGTCTGTGTGTGATGTGAGAACCTTTTCTTCTTTCCTCTTCTTATCTTTGTAGCACCTCTGCAGATAGTCTCATCAAGTACTACAGATCTCTGGCAGTACAACCTGAATCTCAGAACCCTCTCAGCCATATGAGTTTGCTTCATGAGAATCTATATTTCACTATATTACCACATATTTCCGTGTATAAGATGATACTTTTGTCTAAAATCTTTAGACTAAAAATTGAGGGTCATCTTATACACAGTAGTAAGGAGCCCATTTAGCAAGTGGAGGGGAAAGAGAGATCAAAGCACTGCACAATCGCTTTGACCCCTGCTTTCCCCCTCCACTTTCTTGCCTCCAATTTCTTGGCAAGAAAGTGGAGGCAAGAAAGTGGAGGGGGAAGACAGGGTGCTTTGATCCCTGCTTTCCCCTTCCACTTGTTAAACACAGGACTGCAGAGCTGGAAGGGACCTTATGGATCATCAAGTCCAGCCCCTGTCAAGGAGGCACAGTGGAGAATCGAACTCTCAGCCTCTGGCTCCACAGTGAGATACACACTGAGCTATTTAGCAGTTGTTTTTGTTTTTAAAATATATATTTTCTCTATGTGTGTTTTTATTATTTACACAAGTCCACATCCCTGTCTCAAGAAATGTATTTTTTTCTATCAGCCTACTATTTCTCACTTTGACATGTCTTGCTTAATCTGGTTCCACATTTGGTTCCTCTGTACCAGGGTTAGGAAAGGCACACATTTTGATCCTGAAAGATGACAAACCACTGTAATTTTTATAAAAATGTAATGATAACATTTCAATTAGATTTACTTCACCTCTGTATATAATTTGTTTTTATGCAGTTTCCAGTGTATCCTGTAAATTCCAATGGGATTATGGCCTGTATGATATTTATCTTTATCAGAAGTATTTTTTCATGCAATGAAAGTATTTTTTCATGCAATGAAAGACTAAGGATATAGAAATACTTGTGTTATGTGTCATCAAGTCAGAATCAATTCATAGCAAACCTAGTAGGCCTTTCAAGGTAAGTCAGATATTTAAAGAGTGGTTATACCAGTTCCCAGTAAATTTACATGGCAGAACTGTGATTCAAATTCAGGTCTCTTGAGTCCATCACTCTATCCACTACACCACACTATTAGTTTCCTAGAAATGCAGGACTGAAGTACATATTGTGCTGACTGAGCACTCAAATCCTGTTTTTCAAAAGAGGATCCCATACCGCTTGGCAGAGTTTATTTCAGCCATTTGGTTACCTTTCCTTACACTCACTTGAGGATTTCTGGAATGACATAAATTCTTCATCCCTGATCTGTGTATGTGGTATACTATGGATCAAAGTACACAACTGGTGTTTTCCACATTTAGACTATAAAAAGAAAAATAATGAAAACAGAAGTGAATTTACGTACAATTTTTGCATATCAAGAGCACCTGATATGGTATACATGACCTAAATGCTATATTTTATACTAAATGTACTATTCTATTCTTCAGATTTACTTGACCTTTTGAAATATGTGCTCTATTCATCCTAAGTTCTATCTAATTCTTAGTCATAAATACTCATAAATAGGAAAGCAGATGTTAAAATGTTATGAAATGGTTTCATAAAAATAATATGCCTACTTTCCAAGCTACCAGCAATTTCTATTTAATAGGAATAATCTCTTACATTTATCAGGATCTCCCTCCACTCCTTCACTTTCGGTATCACTTGGCTTAATCCATGGCAGTTGAGCAAGATGAAGTTGTTGTAAGAATTCATCCTGACACAAAAATAAGAGATGCAGTTAGGACAATAATTAGGGGTACAAATATTTAGATCAAATAAACCAACCAATAGTTCCAAAACTATTACAATTACTCTAGTTTAATCAGGTATTATTTTTTAAAAAAAACATTTCCTATCACTTTTTTAAACTAGTGAAAATCCATGAAACGTGAGGGATAGTGAATTTGTATTATTTTAGGCAGAGGAGATAGCCAAATCCCTCCACTGTGCTTTTAAAAACAAGGCAGTTATAGCAGCCACGCAACCCTGAACACCCTCAATAATGTTCAAATTGTCTTCTCTGTGGACTGGGCCAGAATTATACTGGAAGTACAATGAGAGGCTAAAAAGCAACTTGTGTGTTTTACTGTAGCTGCAAGTAGTTTAACCATTCTTAAATTGCTGAGGAAAAAAAACTTATGTGTAAGCATGATACTCGGTTTGCTAATGTTGTTCCTCACTTCTTGGAAGATCTAACATCACAAGGTAAAAGAATGAATACATGGAGAAAGCTTCTATTTTGTAGATTGAATTTGGTAACAGGCTCCACTGAAGTTGGTAGAATTAACATCCTAATAGCCAGGAGTAGAACAATTTGTTCTAATTTCTTGTTTGAGGTGTAGGGGTGTTTGTGTGTTTGAGTTGTCTGACTTTGTTGTCTTTTATATTTAAACACCATATAAAAATGAATTTAAAAAACATTTATAACAGACAAAAACTTGTTGGTTTTACGCATACGTTTTGTATAAGTTTAATCAATAAACAAACTTATAATCTTCTACAGTCATTGCGACAAATTTAACAGAACTGACACATGAAAAGGTTGACTGTGTAAAAAAGTAGCAAGTACAATGAATCTCAATATACATTGAACAGATGTAAGTTTTAATAAAAGCCAGACTTCTCACAGCGAAATAACTCACAGTTTCTAAATTGCTTGCAGAGCAGCAAAGACATGATTTCACAAAGAGAAGCAACAATATAATTATAGTTCAGGATTTATATGAAGTATGTTTCCTCTATGTTTTTTGTTTGGAAATATATGTTTGGACTGCTGTTGTTGTGCAGAAAGTCATGTAACGCATGACAGACATGAATGAATGAATGTTCACTCTTTTTATTAAATAGAAAAATTAAAAATTGGCTTTTATCAACAAAAACAGGATGCTGAAACTTTTGAGACTTTCAAGCTCTTTTAGGGGGGGCAGCTATAAGGGAGGAACAGTGTTCAAATCTCTACTTTAAAAGGCAGAGCCTTCAAGGAACTCACAACCAACTTTAGGCACATATTGTCATTCAGCTATATCCAGACTAAAGTGCTTGCCTTTGGTTCTCACTGAAATCAGAACAAATTAAGCTATGACTTAGGCCCCAGTATTTTAACAGTTGAACTAATATAGCATGGATTTAATTCACCGTAAAGGAACACTTTACAGAAACACTTGCAGTGGATTCAGCTGCAGGCAGGTTCTCGACTAGCCTATTAAGGCAAGTGAAAGAAAAGGAAAAACTACGTATGCCTATCTCCATCTGTTTCCAGGAGGAAGTTGTCTTTTTCTTAAAAAAAAGAAGTAATGCAGCATATCCATTCACCTCCAGCAGCTTCCAACCCATGGATTCCTTTATCCCCATGAGATGCCCAAGACCCTCCCTTTCCATCAATCTAAAAAAAATAGTAATGTTATTTCTTCTGCATCTACATGGAAGTGTATATGTAGTATTTAATTTGCCAATATCCTGAAGTGGCTCTCTCTTTTAAGCCATTTCATGCTATGGGAAGTTGATAGAGAAAGGAGCTGAGCTGAACCTCAAGTGACCCTCCAGCCTCCTTCAATTGCCACATGCAGACACACCTAACATGGCACTAGTACCACAGCCACATTTAGTGGGAATATTTCAGACAAAGAAAATTGGGAGAAAGAGCCAGCTACTGTGCCAGTAATGGGGTGAGAAAGACCATCTTACCTACACAACTGAATGACATTTTAACACCCTGTTTTAATAATGTTACACTTATTTACTAAACATCTTCTGCTTTGTTGTCTTCCTTGATTCTGTAAAATCTGTTTATTCTGTCTACGTAATCAGTTCTTTTTCTCAGACTGCTTTTAGGTATTTTGGGGAAGGACAAGTCATATTAGCACAAATAAACCAATGTGCAAACCAACAAACATCTAGCACTAGTAGCAAAAACAGAAACCTAAGGTTTTTGTTTTATGTTGCTTCCCCAACATCACAATGAGAACTATCACAGACTCCAGCAAACTATGTCTGAAGAGACAAAGCATATTTGGCATTCAGTTGTACCATTTCATAAAGGTATGGAAGCAAACACTAATGATCCGATCCTCAGATCTATCTGTCTCCATTGGGGATGTACCTGCAGAAAGGTGTGAAGATCTAAAAGACCAAATGGTTATGTGTACATGTAGAAAAAGGATTCAATACACTGATTTATACATTTTTTGGTGACAAGACAGACATTTATCTATGTTATATTACTTGGTTTGAATTTGAATTGAGCTAGTAATGCAATACACCCGCAAGTTCACTACAGAATTTTTCCATGCCATTAGAACTGTACAAGAACTCATATCATCAGGCAACTTATAATTCTTACAGACAGGACCACAAAACTAAAATCTTGGACTTTTTACAAAAAGAACTTCACAGCTGACATGTTAATCTTTGCCAAATTCTTCAAGAGTTGGCCTATGCCTGTTTAAAAAATACCTGTTTTTAATACAATCTCTCTGGTGAGGGAGAAAAGGGGTATTAAAAATATCAAGCACGAGAAATTGCACAGGCAGGAGTGTGTCTTAAAAGCACCTTACATGTTCAAGAACCAAGAGCTATCTGGCAGAAAACATTCTAGATTGTGTTGTTCAAGTGTTGCACATTACTTTAGTATGGAAAAAGAAATTAAAATACAGGTTCAAAACTGAAATTCGGATAGATCCATGACTGGACAGGATCCCTTTCTTCCACTTAACTCTGTCCTAACACAAATTAAAGTGCAACCATACTTCCTTTATGTGATTCTGGTGTATAGCCCAACCTCATGGATGGTCAAGGAGAATCCTCAGTCTAAGGTACAGCTCAATGTTTGATATATGCACAGAAAAAAACACTTAAAAGTATGCTGGATTGCATCAATCCATCCTGTAATAAATTTGTGGTATGCAAAAAGAAGCATAAAAACCACAATCTAGCTTGCTGATAGGAACAACTACTATTTTCATTTTTAGCTCTCTAAATGTTATTATTTAAGCTTCCATTCATAAAGATGACTAAAGATAAAAAGATAACTTCAGCAAAATTCAATGAGACTAGTAACACATTTTCAGCAAACCAAATAGAACCAAACATCTAATGCAGATAGAAAGCATAAGACTTTCTGCAAACAAATAATTCTAACAAAACAAAAAGTGTGTGTGTTATCAATTTAATCTTGAAAACAACTGAACAGTACAATGAACAGGCAGATCCTCAGAAGAAAGCTGCCAGCATATACAAGCCGTAAATATCATGAATTGCCTCTGATTTATCTGATAATGTTTTAATTAATCAACTAAGGTAATATCCATGGAACATTAATTCAAAACTGAAATAGGGATGAACAATTTATCAGTATATATAGGACAATAATTGTTTTTTTAAAAATATTATTTAAAAAAACTTACTTCAGACAAACTGCTTCTTTGAGTGACATTTCCTAGAGTGTCTCCGCTTGTTTCAAGGAATCCTGTGGGAGTGGTGACAGTCCTCCTAAGTTGGTTCTTTGATATCAAAGACCGGCTTCTCGGCATTCTAATAATTGCTTCCTTGTTTCCTTGGTTGCTAAGGGAAAGAGGCCTTTGTAACAAAGTATTTGGGGTTCCAGACCTGTTTGCTGGAGTTGGTATCACAGAAGATCGGTTGATCTGTCTATTAGGAGACTGAGGCCTACTGTTTATGACACTGGAGACCTGCAGTCTACTGTTACTGGATAATGGTGGTGATTTGTTTCTTTGAAGCTGCAGCTGAATATCTTTCCCAGTCAGAATTGGCACTTGAGGTCCTGAATCCTGGCTTGGTGTAACCTTAAAATTTCCTTGGTGATCTAGCGAAACTAAATTAGTTGGTGGACTACTAATATTCCTTGATAGTCTTCCTTCTTCCCACAGCGCTAGGTCCTTTTCAATGTCTGCACACAGACACAAAAATAAAGCAATATAAGGGGAGTGGGTGTAAGGACATAGATCTCTCTGCATTGATATATATTTCATTTCAACTCAAGATGATGAGTTTTTCTACTTGTACCCACTGGTCTCTGGGTCAACATTCAGTTGGAACCACTTCTCACAAATACAGTTGATGTAGAGAGCTCTCTGTAAAGCAAACATATTGTATTTTGATCTCCATCTGAATAAGAGGGAATGAGACAATACCACAATGTAACATATGCTTGTCTCAACCTCTCTTTCTGAACATTATCAGCTGCAATATCAACACATCCTACAGCAGTCATAAAATCACCATCCTGAAAATCAATACACATCAGCACACTAGTGAGGGAACAAACATACTGAGGATGAATAAATGATGAAAGTATGGGAAATATTTTATGCAGATATTTTATCTACCCATTCAAGTTAGAGTAAGCTATTAAAAAGGCTTTTGACTTTGAATCCTGTTTTCAGGTCTTTGGACAGTTTGAGTTAAGCTGGAGAGTTAGGGACCCACTATGCAATAAGTTGCAGACAGTGCAAGAAATCCTTGAATAGAAAGTTCTTAGACACTGACTGCATTACGGATATTATTAACTTGACAACAACTGAAATTTTTCATTTAGGCTCTGCTTTTGAAGCAAGCAATTTGGTACTGTTGAATTATATATATTTAGCAAGGTCTCAAAGTACATGTCTCTGAGCAACCCAATAGTTTGTTATTGGAAAATGGTAATCACAGTACATTGATTTAATAGCCATCTTTAATTTAATAAAACTCAGGAATAAGTATTTCTTACTGGTGCTTTAATCTTAAAATAATCAAATTGGAAGAATGACCTGATCAAATTAGTTATTTTCAATTTAAAAATTTCAATGGTCTTGTTGCATTAAGGTTTTTTTAAGTAATACACATCACTTTGAAATCTGTAGAATACTTGTTTAGTTTAAATACTTTTGGTTACCAGATGATGATATGGATGCCATAACTAAAACCAAATGCAGAAAGAATTCTCTTACAATTAACTTAAACCACGGGTTTTTGTTTTTTGTTTTTTTGCAAATTATCTGGTTCGTTGACTTATCTACAGTGAATAAGGTGAAAGTACTTTGAAAACTGATATGTAATATTTATGTCTCAATGAGGGTTTAGTAAACATAATTTTGGCAAAAGTTCAATTATCTACAAAAACATATTGGTTCTGCTAACATGCAAAGCATTTAAATCAGTTCTTCACAGCTGATTTAAAGATTTTATTCCATAAAAATTCTTCATATTTATTTAGCATGGAATTTATCTGCTGGTTTTCAGTACCCAGTTGGCTGAAACAGAAAGAGCATACCTCAAAAAGAAGAATACCATGAAATATGTATCCAATATCATATTTCATTATTTTAAGAAAATTACTGTCAGTTATATGTGACTGGAACTAAACTTGCATGATATCTAAATACTTGCTGGATACTTGAAAACAAAGCCTCATAACTCATGACTTGGAAGCAGTGCAGGGAGGGGTACTGAAAACTGAGGGCTAAATCCAGGTGCTAGTCCCAACCATAACTAGAGCCACAGAGTTAACTATTAACTATCAGAGGGGACGTGGTGGCGCTGTGGGCTAAACCGCAGAAGCCTGTGCTGCAGGGTCAGAAGACCAAGCAGTCGTAAGATCAAATCCACGCGACGGAGTGAGCTCCCATCGCTTGTCCCAGCTCCCGCCAACCTAGCGGTTCGAAAGCATGCAAATGCGAGTAGATAAATAGGGACCACCTCGGTGGGAAGGTAACAACGTTCCGTGTCTACGTCGCACTGGCCATGTGACCACGGAAGATTGTCTTCGGACAAAACGCTGGCTCTATGGCTTGGAAACGGGGATGAGCACCGCCTCCTAGAGTCGAACACGACTGGACAAAAAAAATGTCAAGGGGAACCTTTACCTTTACCTTGTCCATTGATTCAATGTGATTACTCAAGTTGGGACTAACAATTTAGCCATTGTTATCAAGTTCTGCCATGCAAGAATCTGCTGCAAAAATGAGGTTTCCATTGTTTTCCAGAAATATACTCTGTTGCCAGGGCATATCTAACCATGAAGATCTTCTGGGTATAAGAGAGAAGTGGGGCAAAATAGCAGTGGGAGGTGAGATAGAAAAAATGAAAAAATAAAGCACTAATGGAATGACACTGAAACATTTTCATAGTGCAAACACTGGAGATCAGTAGAACAACAAAGCCGAGTAGGATAAGAATGTCAAGAGCAGAAGAGCAAGACATTTTTGCCAACTTTTTATTAAGGCAAACTGCACATGGAAGGTGCAAGCACTTTCCCCCTTTGCTTGCTGTCCAAATCTTGAGTGGGCATATTGTTAACTGCAGAACTGGCAAATGTCTGGAAGTATGATGGCTGTCCTGCAAAATAAGTAGAATTGTTCGTGTGATAGCCCTGACACAATTGCCTAAGGCAACTGAATGCTGCCTATACACTCCAAATGTGCATCTATGTATGAGGAAGCTGAATGAACTCAACCCTAGCTCAGCAGCTTCCTCTTCAGTAGATTCAAGTTTTTGAAAATCTGTGTGCCTTTCTTCTGTAGAAAAGCAAAAGAATGTATGAATGTATGTCTCTGTGAGCAGCTGTATCGCTGAAAATAATAAATCCATTTCAGGATACGTCATAGGTGACTATGTGAAATAGCTTGATCCAATCTACAGTATTTATGCAGCATGTAAAACTGAATGAGTACAGAGCAAATTAGCAAATTTCAGTGCTATTCACGAAGGCTTTCACGGCCGGGATCTAATGGTTATTGTGGGCTTTTCGAGCTCTTTGGCCTTGTTCTGAAAGTTGTTCTTCCTAACGTTTCGCCAGTCTCTGTGGCCGGCATCTTCAGAGCACAGAATGCTGTCCTCTGAAGATGCCCATGGCCACAGAGACTGGCAAAACATCAGGAAGAACAACCTTCAGAACATGGCCTAAGAGCCCGAAAAGCCCACAACAACCATTAGATCCTGGCCATGAAAGCTTTCACATGTACTTCAAACAGATTATTCAAGTGAACACTAATTTTGGTTTGAATGGCTAGGTTGTCTGTTTGAAGCTTTCTTACTGTCTGTCTGCCTTTAAATGAGACAGGAATGGCTGCATCACTTCTCCTAAGCTCCTAATAATCAGGTCTCAACAACAGTGTGGAAAGCTGTTTGCATTATTTATTTATTTATTTATTTATTTATTTATTGCATTTATATGCCGCCCATCTAGACATAGTCTACTCTGGGTGGCTTAGTTAATGTCACAATTCAAATATCAGCAGTGCAATCAAGGAAGAAAATGCACTCTTTCCATGCACAGCTCCCATACTTACTGGTCATAAAACGTGTAGCAAGACAAATCTAAGAAGGATTTTTAAAAGGCCTTCTAACTACTGAAAGCTCAACAGAGACATGCCAGGAAACCTAGTAATAACACAAGGTATGGGTTTATTTGCTAGGTCATACTGGAACATTTTCTCCATTTGTACCCTGGTACACTCACAAACAGGACATGAATGTGATATCCAATCCCAAGCAACCAATAACAAGGAAAATAATTGTTATCAGATAAGAAGCACAAGAGAAGGATGCAACACTGGACATCTGCTAGTGGAAAAAAAAAGAATCAGGTGAGGCTCAACCCCATCTGCTCTCAAAATTGCCCCTGCAAGCCTGAGAAAACCCCAAGAATTGTTTTGTGGGCAACTTGGAGAGCTGCAGGAAAGTGAAAGGGGCACTTACAAGCAGAACACTGGACTCCGCTCCCAGTGCTAACTATCTTGTTAATAGTTCATGGAGTCTGTCACCTAAAAGTAACATGTTTAAGAGTTTTATACTGTGGCCAAGGAATTTGGATCAATTATAAAACTCTTATAAAACTTGGCATCTTTCAAACAAAATGAAGAAATAAGCAATCATATCCTATGGTGATGGGGTAAGACTGACATTAATCACAGAGAAACCAGTTTTCCTGCAACTTCTACAGTCGTTTTGAGAAGCCTGTGAATTTTTGAAAAGTGATAATGTTGCTTAAGTGATTTCTGAAAGACCAAGCACCTAAATAACTGGGGTTTTTTTAGATAGTGGAGATAAAGTGAAATTGCTTCAGAGACTAATATTTCCTTCAGATTCTGGGTTGTCTGGAGTCACTTGGGGAGATTTATGCAGCACTGCCTAACAGTAATACCAATCATTTGTTGACACTGGAATGTTACTGAGCTATGGAAATGAATGTGAAAGGAAGCTGCTGAGATATATTTTGATTACCATACACTGTCCAGCTTCAATGCCTTAAAAATGAATATTTCTATCAATTTAACCAAGAACCACTGAACAGTTTTTAAAAACCCTCTTAACTCCTTCTTGACCCATTCATTCTTCTGAGTATCTTACCTTTTATATTTATCAGAAACCTATTTTCTGCCTCTGTTCTACAAACAAATTCTATTAGTTTTATGCCATAATACTTACCAGCCAGGTGTTTTTCCATGGTTTGCAGTTCTTTTACAGCCAATGAATCTTTTAATATGATCTGGCTTGGGGAGTCTTCATTTCTGGAACCCATAACGTCTAGATCCCAATCTGTTTGATTCTAGCATGATAAAAAAAAGGAGGAGACTACTAAAATGCTGTACTTTTACCTTTGCTAAAAGAAGGCATACACTCAAAATGTCAAATGGTGCATTATTTTAATTAAGTAATTAAGACTTTTCTGTCACTCAGAACATAGGCTCATGAATGTGTGTCTTTGTTTACAGCATATTGAGTGAAAATGAATGATTTATACCTTGTGTAATCCTACTGACTTTACTAAGAGTGCATTTAGTTGAAGTCCACATTAGGTTTGCCTCAATATCTATGTAATTCACCACCACTGGGGACAAAATGGCATTTCTACTCATGTTGTATTGGTGGGGGGGAGTCAGATGGAACTAGTAATCATATTCTTACCTCATTTTAGAAGGGCTGTTGGGAAGGAAAACACTTGCTTTGTCATTTGACTATTGAACAATTCAGTGTTTAAGTATATTTAAACTTGTTGGAACCTGGTCAACTGAATTTTAAAATATGTTTTTAAAAACAAAAAATGATCAAGTAAACCTGATAGGTTCTTTACATGTTCAATGGAATAACAAATAACCATATGGACTAATGTAAAAGATTATTCACAAAAAGAATGAGCCTGAAGAGTGTAGATTATGAAGAGAAGAAGAGGAGAAGAAGACAGAGCCAAGCAGCAGTAGTTTATAATATAAGAGGCTTCTCTGTTATGGTTCAAAAATAATTTTATGATTGACTTTAAAACCTTCAAATAATAAAAATCGCATTCACATTTACATAAGCAAAGCTTATGAACTGAATCAGACCCTCTCTGGAGTGAATGTATACAACAGAAGTCTGTACAACATCTTGAGAGTTTTCAAACAGTAACTACAATTTAGACTACAAGACTGTTAATATATGTTGGGTTTTTTTTTTAAAGATTACAACAGTTGAATACAATATTATTTAATTATATGCTTCTACAAACCATTTTTTTAAAAAAGATTTTTGTTTTGTCATAAACACATATGCTGTTATGTTTATGAAGAAATATCTAAACAGTGAAGCTCCATACTTAGTAGAAGGAAAGCTGGCTACATTTAAAAATAACATCAATCACTATTATAAATGTTGCTAAAAGCTGCTATCTGGCATATTTCCTTACTAATGCAAAATCTGGAATAACAAATTCCAAGCTGACTTTGCAAAATGTTGTGTAGCATAACAGAGCAGAATCTATCTGGCTTTGAAGGCTCTCTGTTTGCTCCCACATCTAGCATTCTACTCCAATTTATTAAATTATGTAAAATAGGTGAGGAAATGGTTCGATCTGTAGCTAGGCTGTCAGATTCGAAAAGACACATTGCCATAATGATTTCAGGACTCACTGACACCCACTGATGGAAAGCTTAACTGCTGTAAATGAGTGGGTGGGGGGAATGCTGCATATTCATGAGCTCCACCTCTCTGAAGAGCCCAGCCACATGTTTAGAAATTGTGCTACCTCAACTGCCCAGCTAATTTATTTTGCATAGAAGAAGAGGAAAACTATTTCAGTTTGCCGGACTGAGCCTGTGGATCCAAAACCAAGGGGGCACAAAGTACTTCCTTTTCTCTGCCAGCTTGCTGGGGGAAACATGTGGTTCAACTTGGTAAGTCAATTACCATCATGAGAAACAAACAAACAAAAAAGAAATAACTGGTGAGCAACTGACACTGAGAAAGCTACTTTATTAACTATGGCCTGTTACTTCTCAAGCCCAATATGCTTCTTAATTATCCTGTTTCAAATAACCAAGCTCTGAATGTCCAAGCACAAGGTAAAATTAGTGTATAACACTTGCAGTAACAGCAAGAATTCCAGTTCCTGCAAACACTGGCACTTGTAAAACCAAGATCTGCTCATATAGAGTTGGACTTCAGTTTGGCACCCATGCCATTTACAAGATGCTGCACTGAACAAACTAGGACTGTCTGTGATCAGAATAGGCAACGGAATGTGTCTGGCAATTTGGGGGGGGGGGGGGAGGTGATGTCAGAAGGCAGAGAAAAGAGATGGGAAAGAAGAATGACAGACACTATAGCCAAGTGATGTCACAGCTTATGACTGAATCAAGCAGCTAGAGATTTCAGGTCCCTGTCAGAAGAATCCTCTGGCAAGGATAAACCTGACACTCCAGAACCCACCAGGGTGAAGGAACTGCCTAGCCCTGTAAACTCTGGACCCTTGGGAGCCAGTAGTCCAAACTTGCGAGCTGAGTCCAAAGAGGAAGTGGGACCCCTACCGAGTCAATGGGAACAAAGAAGCCTGACAGCTTGAAGCCCCCAAGTGAAATGCCTGGCTACAAGGAAGGATTCTCTGAAAGAAAGAGTCTCTTTTGGAATAGGGGATCTCCTTGGAAGGAGGTTCTTTTCCTCAGAGAGACACACAACCCAGTCCTGGACACAGTATAACCCCTTACTGCCCAAACACCTACCGTTGAATGCTGGATGTGGGCTTGGGCAGCTCAGCTATAAAAAGTCTTTAGTTTGGATTGCAAGCTACTGGAGACAACACATATATTGGTTCCTGTACTCACTTTCCATGTGCCTGGACCTCTGTTTGTGATTCCTAGCCTATGTTTGTCTACTGGACCCTACTTTGTCTACTGGCTTTGGAGAGGACATTACAGATAGCAGGAAGAAACAGAGGTAAACATGACAACATCTTTGCTTTCCATACTTTCTGTGTAGTGACTAGTGTGAAAAATATACAGCAATCCGCATTAAAGTTGCTGTTGATGCGCCTTTGTGCATTTCACCAGGAACACTGCAAGCAGACAGATGACTCATGCATGAATCATTTGCTTACTGTACTCTGTGATCTGCAAAGCTCTCAGGTGCTTGAGACCGTTGGAAAAAAATACAAAGATATGTAGAGACTTGAGGACTCTGTGGGAGGCACTGAGCTCGGTGTGTGTATGACGTGGTGGTGATGGTGAGTTTCAGCTTCTAAGCTTAGTTACTCATAGCAGCAGAAACTTTTCATCCCTTCACGTTTCTGATGCACTAAAAATATGGATGGTAAAAAATAAAAGTCTTCTTTAGTTTTCCTTCCTGATATTGTAATTGTTTCCCTTTATAGATGAATCTAGAGCAGGTAGATTGCACAGAACACGGGCATGAGATAATAGGTGTCTGACCACCCAAAATCTGACTCCACAGTGACATCTCGTGGCAAGACAAACAACTAGTGCTGGTATTACTGTTGAAGCTTTCCTTGTAGCCAGTGAATCAACAATAAGAATATGAATTAAGCCAGTAACACTTAGGGATATTAGTTAGATTTCCTTCCTCTGAAACAGATCGCCACTTTTGCAAAGGTTAAGTTCCAAAAATATCAATGCGCAAAAAATTACACATCTTGAGATGCTGCTTGATGGAAGATTTTAACAGAACGATTCCATACCTTAATGATACATGTTAGCACCTACATGTGCTACTGACTAGGGATGTTTGTATATTTATTACAGTATATGCAGCAAACACTTCAGATTTTGTTACATAAATGAAGTATATATGGGATGAATGGGGGGGAATCAACAGGAGTATCACAGGGAAAGTCTATTGATTAATATGAATGAGATTCACAAAAATAATTATTTAAATAATCATGGGGAAAGAGGTAAGATAGTGTGTACATGGGCTTAATAACAACAATAACAAGAATAACAAGAATAAGAATAAGAATAAGTTTATAATTTTTATTATTACTTTTATTTATATGTTGCATTTCTCCCAACAAGGGACTTAAAGGGCTTGCTTTTACATTTCTACCTTTCTACAATTCATCCTTTATTCTGCTTGAGGAGATAAAGAAGGGGAGGGAGGGACAAAAATGGTGGAACATGTTTTCATGACTTAACTTCTGTCTCATTTTGAACCCATGTCCTGAATTTTGTAATGCTTCTACCTGAGTTTCATGCATTGGCCCTAATCATTTATACCAGTCCCTCCCAAAAAAGGAAGATGACCAGAGACATTCCAGCTTCTTGAAATGTCCACCTGTCTGTTATTACTAAGATCACAGAGATGAATATCCAATGAACAGAACTGTTGGGTCTTTAGTTCATACAGCTATTTGTGATTATTTCAGCCTCCCTTAATCCTGTAAGCTTACAAAGCAAAGAGCAGCACTGAATCTAATCACATGGGTATTTTCATTAGGTACATGACCTGGATGGATGGATAGACAGCTAGATAAATTCAATATATGAATGAATGGCATTTGTTAGTGAAAGTGGTTTTCGTTTGTTTAGGATTTTTTTACCTTTTTCAGACAAAGAAGATTATTAAAACATTATTGTCAGTGTTACTTTTGGAACTGGATTTGGACCAGTTTTATCTAACTTTGAACAAGGCCCCAGCTATCACAGCAGCGGAAAACTGTTAAAGCAATATATTTAATATACATCTGCCAGCAGTGAGTTCAGCCATATGTCACTGTTCAAACTTTTTTTCTTCATGTCTTTATTGTTTTTTCACTTACACTGCATTTATTTATTTATTTTTGCTCAGATTACTAGAGACAAGTTCATCCAGATATGAACATTTGCAAAAAGAAAAGTCCCAAATTCAATCCATACTTTAACTTGTTTCTTACATATTTGAAGGATGGGGGTGACATGTACCTTAAGAGTTTAAAATATTAAAAAGCAAAATCTGGAACCTATTGTGTCTATAGTAAGCAGTCCAATTCAGTCAGGAACATTTGTTTCTCTTTCATTTAGAAAACAAGAACAAACCAGTCACTTAATAAAAGAATCTACTGATACAATTTCAGAGGTTAAAACATGCAGAACAAATCATAGAATTATATAATAATGGAGTTGGAAGGGGTCAACAAGGCCAATGAGTCCAACTTACTGCTCAGTGCAGGGATCCAAATCAAAGTACATCTGATGGATGCTCATCTAACCTTCTTTTAAATGCCTCTAGCACTGGAGCACCCACCACCTCTAGGAAATCTGTTTCATGATTGTACTGTTCTAAAAGTTAGGACATTTTTGCTGATATTCAACTGAAAATCTGGTTTCCTGTAAAATTTGAGTCCAGTATCACATGTCCTGTACTCTGGAATGACAGAACAGATCCTCCTCCTCCTCTGCATGACAATAAACTATTTGAAAAGTACTATCATACCTCCTCTCAGACGTGCCCAGTTCTTTCAGTCTTTCCTCATAAGGCTTAGTTTCCAGTTCCCTGATAATCCTTGTTGACTTCTTCTGAACTTGTTACAGTTTGTCAGCATCCATGGCTACCCAGTTGAGATGGGCAACAGCCACCAGTTTGGCAATTGGTACTGGTTCGTTTACCAGCCAAACAAGTGTTTGGCAATTCCCAGCCCTGCCTCCTCTGCTGAGCGCCCACTCAGAGGCAGCACGCCAGCTTTTTTGCCCTGCCTCCTCCAGCTGCTGCCTGAATGGGTGCCTGCCAGAGGAGGTGACGCTGGGAAGTGCTGAAACCTGTTCAGCCAATAAACAAACCAGTGGTTCATGCCTATCTCTCTAGTTACCAGTCATGCTGGTTGTGTATTACCTCCAGTGTCAGAGACAATATGATTCTGGAGGTGACATTAACAACAATATCAGTGGCTGAGGATCACAGGCAAGAATTGTTTTCATATCTTTTTGTAGGTGTCACAGGCAATTGTTGTTTGAACACTATGTGAACAGAAAGTTAAACTGGACAGACCTTTAATCTTGCCTTATACTGATTTTTTACTTGGTTTTCCATAACTAGAGTTTGCTCATTCAGTACACCTGGAGTAGAAAAGTGGCTTCCAGACCAGGACAGGTCAACTTGTTATTGCTACTGGATCACTAGGGCTAGACACTTTTGAAAACAGTACAAATCCTCTACTGTTTGCTTGATAGATGACTTGTTCTGTCTAGCATTGATGGACACAGAGTAGTAACTGCCACAATAGAATCTGCTGAGATAACAAAGGAGTCAGTCCTTGTATCTGCATTCCAAAAACCAGCATGAGAAGAAAGCACTTTGAGGAGACAGATCATGACTTTTTGGGGGCAAAGGCACTCTGTATTCAGATATATGCACAGATGTCTGCTTCTGCATAATCACTAGAGGGTTTTTTTCTTCACTAGGTTTCTGCAGCACTGTATCTCTGTTCTTCCATTTATGAGAAAAAGAATAAGTTTTGCACAGGAATAATGAGAACAACATTATCTTAAGAAACACATTTCATTGTGGATTTACAAATGTTGTGCCACTACACCTCTGATTTCCAATTTCCAAGTTGACTGCAACAAGTGGCTTGCAATGAATGATTCATGCATGTCGGACTGAAGATTTGAAAAACAGGTAAAAACAACAAAACAACCCTGAAATGAAAAACATCTCAGAGAACTTGATGGCAAACTGCTGCCCTTGAAGTTTACCGTTTACTAGTTCTTGAGAAAATTACATATAATTAAAGCAATGACTGAAATGTTTCGTTTTATATATCCTTTTTTAAAGTATTGCTTTCACAGAATAACCGCATAAAAGGAAAAAAATATTAATGGATCTCTAGTAAATGACTGAATAATTCACACCTAAATTAAGTTAATATTGAGATATTCATCACAGGGATGGTGAACTATTTCCCATGATCCAGTAAATCTGTCTCTCTCATTAAAAGTAGGTTGTAGGAGGGCGGATTACTATCTAAGCAACTAATGAAAAATTCTGTACACAGGGTCCTTCCTGTCATTCATTTGTAGAGTTCACCAACTGTTCAGTATTGTCACTCCATGATCAGTTCATGCATATGATATGAGCTAGTCAATTTTTAAAAAATGTAATCTAAAAATAATAATAATCCTCCTCAGAGCTTTTGTGTAATACTGGCAGCTATTTTTAATCCCTATGTCTAACATGAGCGGCAGTCCTACTTGAAATGCTGTATAATTGAAATTACAAGCTTTCTGCTCTGTATGGCAGGCAACATGCCAGTACATTTTTTTACATCAAAGGCATATTGAGCTAGTCCTACTCAAACCACGATTCAGACTAACTCAGACTGTACAATATCTGCATGTAATAAAATACAACCAAGAAGCATTACATGTTTTTACCTATTATACTGTAAGTTTGGGGTAAAAAATCTTATGCTTTCAGAAGTCTATATTTTGCCAAAAAGCTCATAGGTTCAAGTGCAGTGTTAATTATCATCAAGGAGTTAAATTTTCTGTGGTAATCACCATAAAGATTGATTGTTGTATAAATAATAATAGTGATAATAATCCTCTAACAGCAGAGCTAGAAGAGACCCCATCAAGTCCAGCTTTTGTCAAGGAGATATCATGGGGAATCGAACTCCCAACCAAATACAGTGGTGCCTTGCTTTATGATTGCCCCGCATTATGACGAAACCACTTAACAACGATCTTTTTGCGATCGCAATTGCGATCGCAAAACAATGGTCTGAATGGGGGAATTTCGCTTTGCGATGATCAGTTCCCTGCTTCGGGAACCAATTCTTCATAAAACGATGATTTTTAAACAACTGATCGGCGGTTTCAAAATGGCTTCTGGGTAACTAAAGCGGCTCCCTGCTGTGTTTAGGGACAGATTCCGCGCTATACAGGCAGTGAAAATGGCCGCCGTATGGAGGATCTTCTCTGGACAGTGAGTTTTTACCCCATTGGAACGCATTGAACAGGTCTCAATGCGTTTCAATGGGGTTTTTGTTTTCGTTTTACGATGTTTTCACTTAACTGTGATTTGCCTGGAATGGATTATCGTCGTTAAGCGAGGCACCACTGTACTTAATCACTGAGCTACTGAGAAGTTCACAAAGCAGTTCATAATGAAGTTAGAAACAACAATACATAAATTTAGCTTATTGAGTGGAATATTCTATCTCTTCCTTCAAATTCTAATCTAAACCCATTTATTTCTGTGACACCCATGGCTTACACATTTAGTTCCCATCTTCATCTGGAGCTAAACTATGTTCTATTCCATTTGAGACTTCACAGACTTGAACTAATTTTCATCTTTTCAGTGGCTAAAGCTGAAGGAGATGTATAGGTTAAGACAATGCAAAATTTAAGAAGCAAAAAAAGTTGATGTAAGGAAATAACACATTTATTTTTTGTAGCTACTGGGAAGTGCATCATACATGATCTGGGATGACCCAGGATGACCACATAAATTCTGATCTCAAAGGTGTACAGGATCTCAGCAAAGCGGCCTGTCACCTCTTTTGGCCTGAAGTTGAGAACCTCTTGATGGCTACTTTTTGATTAAAGTGAAAGCAGTGGCAGCTCTTTCTGAATGTCTAGAACCTTATCAGTTTGGGCTGTGTACTGTTAAATTAAAAATATAAGCAAAGTAGATGGAAGCAGAGGCATTTGCTCTGCAAATAAAATGAAGAAGGTATGTTCAACAAGTTATGAATTCCTCAGTTTTAATTAGTCCCATCCTAAGTAGTATGCCCCAGATTCAAATTTTGCACTATACTGCCTCCAAAAACCACAACACCCTAGACTAAACTAGGACATTCAGAGAGAGCCCTTGAGTCTCTATGTGTTGTTAATAATGTGGAGATTGTCATTACACACTATCTCACTAATAGTTAATAAGCTAACCAAAATAGATTATTTCAGTTAGTACAACACACAACTTCACAAAATCTAAATGGCATGTGTTATAACACAGAATACTAAGAAAATACAAGGTACAAACCAGCCAGGTCAGCATTGTTAAGAGTGATATCAATTGCACAATTAAAATGCCTAACTTTCCTCTATCTAATAAGAGTTAAAAGGTTTTAATTCTGTTCCTATGATATATGTGTACATGCACACAAGAGAGAATATGTGTATATATATATAACTCAGTTAAAAATTCGAGAACAAGCAAGACTGACAGTAAATTATTATCTGTAAAGAAAATTTATGCATATCAAATAAAATTGTTATGGGCCATCAAGTCAGAACTGATTTATAATAACCTTAATGGGGGTTTTCAAGGTAAGTGAGGTATTTAAGGAGTGTTTTTCCCAGTTCCACTCTCCCAGTGAGTTTCCATGGCAGAGCCAGAGTACTTAACCCAGATCTCCTGAACCCTAGTCTATTACTTCATCCCCTACACCACACTGGGTACCTCTATACTCAATAATATTTCAATTCAATACAAAATTTAGAATCCCATTCATAATGTGTTCAATATGGGATTAAAATTTTAACCCAGTGCCCGGAGGTGGAGGGATATATGATATACAGACTTCTAATACACTCTTCATATACATGCCCAAAGTAGTGCTTAGAGCCAGTTCATGAGGAATTATTTTTTTCTTTCTTTTGCCCAGCAATCTTCCACAGCACTTAAAGTAGCACACATAAGGTTTCCTTTAGGAATGCAGAAAGCTGCTTCATTTTGAAGAAGCCTTTGGCCCATCTAGCTTAGTACATGCAACTCTCATTGCAGCAGCTCTCCAGGGTTTCAGGCACCATTATTTCCTGGAGATCCCTTCTATTTCCTGGAGATCACCCACCCAACTAGTAGTCAGGTCTGATTATGCTTAGCTTCCAAATCAGATAAGACTGTGCACATATTCAGATATGCTGGTGATTTTCTTACTTGTTCTGTTGCTTGGGGTATATTCTCCAGGTCATCACTGCTCTCCATGGAGATTTCTGCTCCAGGTGCTGATATTATTCAAGATAGACAAACAAGTAATATGTTAATCCATTCAGTAAAGAATAATTAGCAACATTGAACACCTCAAGCAGCCAAGAGGAAGAAATGAGAAACATCTGATTCCAGTTATGGTCTCCATGAACTCAATGACCAGCTCATAGCTTGGATGCCTAGTAAACAAGTCAGGAGCTAAACTTCTTTCCATCCTGGCTTGTTTGAATTAATCATAGTTAAGCCAACCACAGTCCTGTCGCATCTGGTTGTGATGTGAAACTCATTAAGCATAAGCTCACAATCTCATTGCAGCCATACCAAAGGTGGAGACAGTAGGAAAAGATGTGTGGGCCACAGGATCATTCACATAACATTAAACTAGGGGTGGAGAACCTTTGGATTTCCAAGTGGTAGTAGTCTTCAAAAAAATCTTGGAGGGCTATATACTCCTCCTTCCATTAAGTTATAGATTAGCATTATGTCCGACAAGGCAATTCATTTAGCTGTTAATAGTCATCAGTTTATGAATTGAAATGAGTATCCTGCTGTACCATTACCACTGAACAGCTTAAGACTCAGAGCTTGGAACATCAGGTCTGAAAATTAATTTGTTGGTGTTATGTTAGAAATAGGAAAGTAATAACTATGACTGCTTTGATATACCAACAGAAATCTACAAATGGTAGGCTCAAAGCACATAATCAAAAATTAATAATTATGTAAGTACTTTTAAAAGATAGAGCTGATATCTTAATTTATAAAAATCCAAACCTACTAGTTATATGTGGCATTTTAACAATACTTGAGGACTCTAACAAGCTACTTACATTACATCTTTTGTAAATCTCGATTTCAACTAACACTTCACATGGTAGTAATAATATACTAGAACCTCAAATCTGATGACTGGATACTCCTGTTTTACAACAGTTTACATTAAGAGTCATTTTCGGTGTTAGAATATGACAGGTTTCCCATTATCTGATCCAGAACCTGATCCTCATGAAATCCTTCCCTCCATTATTATTTGTTGTAATAATAATGTATTTGTTGTACATTCTGACTTTCTGAGCAGCTTAAAATAAATATAATGCCACAGGAGAGATAGTAACAGTGTTACAACATTGTGTTTGCTAACCAAGTTATACTATACTATCTAAAAAGCAAAGATAAGCACTTTAATTTTGCCAACCCTCAGCATTATATCAGTGTCTTCAAGAATTGGTTTACATTAGCGGTTTCCATGCTAAGTTTAATGCAGTAGGAACACAAATGAATATCCAGAGAGGCAACACAAACTTAATAAGGAAAAGGTCTGATGATCTGAGTTTCTTTCTGTATCCTGCTATGATCTGATAACTGAGTAAAGATATAATGAATATTCATATTTTTCCTAATTAATGAAAAAGGATATCCTGACACACTTAGGAACCTCGGTGAAAAAAACTGCCAATAGCTGTAAGCATTTTCACTCCTATATAAGAATGGAAAGATCAGTACCTTTATTTTCAGCAACAGCTCTAGCATTTGTATGAAAAGTGTGTATTGTGTCCATAACCTTGTATTTTACACAAAAAACCTCACATTTTCATTTAAAAAGCCCTTACATTTTGTGTCAAATCCTTATATTTTGTGAAAAACACAACAATTTGATGCAAAATACTTTTTGCAGAAAATATAACACTTTTGCAAAAAATACACGGGCCAAAATCTTATTGCATAAATTACGCTGCATAAGAGTTGTGCCATCATCATTAGAGGGTGATTGCTGGTAATTAAATAGTTCCTTCTTCGATCAGGAATGATCACAATTTGGCCACAATAAGTCTTACTATGTACATGCCAGGCAAACTCCAGGATGAAAGCAGAACTTCATTACTGGCAATCTCCCCTTGCTGGTGGTGGCATATGAGCAACAGGATTTTGCCAATATTTTTAATTTAAAAATCATTTTTATTAATTTTTGACAAAAAAAAAAAAAGGCCAGAAAGGGGAAAACCTGGGGGGGGCACAAAAATTGAATCACATCCAGTAAGGGAAAATGTGAAATGTTTGGTCTTACCTGCGAGAAAGCAAAGATTTAAATCCCCATAATAGAGATATGTATGTACAAAATAAGCCTATCTGCTGATCTTTAAAAGTTTCTTTAAAAAACTCAACAATATATTTCTTGGCAATCCTAGAATGTGCCTAATCAATAGGTGGCTGTTTATTTATTAAGGTTTCTTCCATGTGACGTAGTACAGTTCCACCAAAAACATACCAATAGCTTCCGAAACTTCTTGGTCTAGTGTCTGCGAGGCAACAGATACATCCTCTGTTCTTTCTGTCAAATTATCTCCTTGAAGTCTAGATAAATTATAATACAAACAATATTTAATTTGCATAGAATGTTGAAGGGATTCATCATGCAAATTCAAATGACACAATGCTGATTTGTACAGTAGCAGCTCATGCAGATGGTTGGAGGGCTGCCAGTTTTCACCACTAAGAACCACTGTATGAGAACAGGACTAATGTCTTACTCATACTGCAAGATATTGGAAGCATGTGCTTGTTAGCCATTAGGTGTGCAATTGATCAACAACTTGTAGTACCCAGGCTGCTAGTCTCATGGCCTGAAATGGTTGCTATGCACCTGTACAGTATTGTAGCAACAGTCTCCATAAAAAATGCCAGATCTTCCTCCAACTACTGTACAGTACTCCATATAATAACTGTATGGCAGTAACTAGTAGCGTTCCAGTGATATCATTAAGCCACCAATAAATATGTATTGTACCATAAATTTCTTTCAAAGTTTCACATAGACAAATTTTAAAAATTATTTCAGATACCTTCATTAAAACTGCAATTCTTAGCTGGAAGCAAGCTTACTTAAAATCAATTGGACTTATTGCTGAGAAGGCATGCATAAGATTGAACTGTGACATTCAATAGTTTTACTGTTTTCTGTGCAAAGAAAAGTCCAAGCCCAGACAAGATACACTGTGTGGGATACACTCCTGTGCATGATGGGATACACTCCTGTGCATGATACATTCGAAGCTCGAAAAGGGCATATTTGAAAGCTCTACTGATTTTTTTTTTTTTTGCAAAAAACCTTCCTTAGTTTGCATAGTTCATTCCCCTATCATGTGGAGTTTGCAGAGGAATCCTAATGTAGAGGCAGCAAATCACAACCACTCAATCTAAAATCCACCTAAAGTCTGAATATCTAGTCATGTTTATGCTCCCCTCAATGTGTATAACAGCAGCACACTTTTGAACAAGACTGTAATTTTGACATCTATACATTCTGATATGGAAGCCTGGACAAGCCTTCTGTTTCTTTGGTAACCCCCAAAGTACAGGAAAGTGCAGAAAGGTCTGTACTTGTACACAAGAAATGAAGTCCTCTGGTGCCTTTGAGAGTAACAGGTTAATTTTAGCATAAGCTTTTATGGATCACAATTCACTTCTTTGGCTACAGCTTTGAATTACAACTTCCAAAATATCCCAGCCTACATGACCTTGTTGGCTGGGACAGTCTGACAGAATCTAAGAAGTAACTTCTCTAAAGTAAGCATGATTGGTCAAGAGAGACAGGAGTGGGGTTTTACTTCTATTTAAAAGCAACACTGGGTGACATGCTCTATCACTTCATGCATGACTCTACAATTTAGTGTTATTATAGGAGTATCCCATAGGTCACCGTACAGTAGAACTGAAGAACATTTTATTGGACTACAATTCTCAGCATTCCTGACCTTTGACTATACATCAGAGATAGATAAAATGTAACATCCAGTCATATTTTCATAACTGTAAGTCCCTCAGCTCAGCTGTATAGAATAATGTAAACGAAAGGTGAGACAACCAATGTTTGCATGAATATAGAACAGATGGAAAATTCCTGCTCTCACTTAAAATACATGTGATCATCAGAAAATAGGCCAAACCAATTCACACCAAAAGCAAACCCAATAGCAAGCTATATGCTCACCAGTTCACCCCTAAGACAGTGGCAGAAGAGAAAAAAGAGTGGTCACCTTCTGGAAATCACAGCAGTGGGGAGGCCTGCAGGCATAGGAGTTATGCTAAACCCTTGGAAAAGGCCATAACCAAAACCTTTTACTTGATTAAAGTTAACAACGAGAGCCTCTGATTTGGTAACATGTAGCCTTAAAATACAAGGGACGTGGCGGTGCTGCGGGTTAAACCACAGAAGCCTCTGTACTGCAAGGTCAGAAGACCAGCAGTCGTAAGATCGAATCCACGCAACGGTGTGAGCTCCCGTCACTTGTTCCAGCTCCTGCCAACCTAGCAGTTCAAAAGCATGTAAATGCAGGTAGATAAACAGGTGCCACCTCAGTGGGAAGGTAATGACATTCCATGTCTAGTAACGCTAGCCACGTGACCACGGAAACTGTCTATGGACAAACGCTGGCTCTATAGCTTGGAGACAGGAATGAGCACTGCACCCTAGAGTTGGCCACGACTGGACTAAATGTCAAGGGGAACCGTTACCATTACCTTAGCCTTAAAATAGCAAAAATGCTGTATAAGGTAATTATTGCCATTGTGTTTTGTTTGTTCTTTGCCCATATCATCATATATTAGTTGGCAATATAAAATACTGTAGCTTTGGCAAGCTTTGATTTACTAGATATAATACTTAAAACTGCTACATTATTAGCTTCATACTTCAGTCTTATACAAAACAGCAGAAGAGCACGGCATCAGATACTAGCATTCCAGCATTCATGCAAGGGATATCTCCTCTTGTTTCACTGTCAGGAGAGGTCTTATATCTGCATTAAGCAGTAACTATCCATTAAAAAAGACAAAGCTTCTCACGGTGCTTGCATGAAAAGATATTTAGGTGCAAGAAAGCAAGGGGAAACATCAGAGCACCACATCATATTTTAAGAGCAACCATAATAGAAGCATCACCATAACATCAGCACAAATTATGTTTGTTAGCAAGTACTTTGTTTCCATAAGTGAAAATACACACACAATATATGCGACACAAGTTATGTCACCAACATTTATGATATGCTATATAAACCTCTATGATCCATAAATCTCATTCTCAATATGAGTAAAACAGTACCATCTTAGTTTGGCTTGGACTCGAATCTATATAAGGGCAGAAATAACTAAATGAAATAAATTTAATTGTTTAAAAACAGCTGTAGCGATCACTCTGCCTTTGCTCAAGTATGAGGTTATCTGCATGCACCAATGGGAGCTGTTGGGAGGCAGAGCCAGAGAAACTGGAAGGGAGGGGTGAGGCAGATAAGAGCAGTGAGAGTTAGATAGTGAGAGAGTCTGAAGTCAGTTAGAGAGTCAGGAGTTAAGAGAGGCAGTTGAGAGTGTGGAACTTATAGAGAGTTAAGTGTGAAACAAGTTATTACAAAACTAATGAATACTAAAGTCTTTGAGGAACCTGTTTATGCGAACAGCATCTAATAAACCTAGTTTGTTAAACTTTACATGCAGTATGAACCTCCATCTTTCTAAATAAATATTGTTGACAGAGATCAATCGGTGGCAGCATAAAAGGGAACATGGCATGAGCCTCAGGCTAGTGAAATAATATGGGGACATGAGAGGGGCACGTCCTAACAGCTAACCTATTTCAGAGTCTGACACTCCCTCTCACAAGCTGAGATTTTTAAAAGTTGCACACCAACAATGCAAAACTTTCCTGGACTCTCATGATAAAACTGTCTCAAACAAATCAGCATGTACAAAACTGGCTCTTGTAAATGAAATTTCCCGCTTACTGGTGCTGTTTCATACACACTTTTGCTGTTGAAAAAGGAACTTATCTCGTACTCATTCTCATCCTGTTTCGTGGCAAGCTATGAATAATTCAGGTATCAAGATCCATGGGATAAGGATCTTTCCTAGAGCATCAGTGATGAAATGACTGTCAGGTATCTAAGCTAAATTGTATCTTCCATATATTCTTAGGCTGGAATACTAAAGCTTAAGCCAAAAATTACCACAAGGTCACATCTCATTTTCTTCATCATTTTCTGTTATCCTTTTCTTCACTCTTTCTCTTCCTATTATACTGCCTTCTCCAACTACTTTTAAACTATCAAAGGAGTAGGCAAAGAACAAACTGAACTCATATGTGAAGCTTGCAATTGATCATGTTAGGACTGGGGCAACATGGCAGATCCCAGACACACCAGTTCCAAGAACAGCCACATCGATTTCTCAATGATTCCATATTTTCATTCTAAACGGTACCAGACACAGATCAGTCACCAACTTGAGTTCTAGTGATGGATACATGGGAGGGTGGGTGGGTTGGTTTGCATATATACGTAGATGGGGAGGGAGGCTTTTCTCAGTTCTTAACAAGGAACTCAGAAGAATCATCACCACAGAAAGAGGAAAAGATTCTTTTCGCTTTCATCAGCTTATCCCAATCCATTCGTACCATTTTCCCCCACATCTTAGCTACAGCAGCATGGAGTACAAAGAGAAGAGAATAATTGTACCATTCAATTCACAGCACATCCCGTATATGCTGTGAGAAACAATGGACAAAAATAGACTGGAAAAATGGAGCCGAGAAGACAGCATTGGGATTGGACAAAAGGTTGTGAACTTGATCTATTTCATAGACTCCATTTCTACCTTTGGGGCCAATCAATTTTTCTCTGAGGCACTGGAACCTGAAAAACTCAATTTGTTACAGAACCACATGAGGTTGCAATTGGGTGCAGACTCCTCATAGAGCAGCATGCAGGCAGCAGTCTGCTGGTTTCCTTTAATTGCATCTGGCTAGACAACAGGCTGCTGCAGTGCGCTGTCCGTGGTTCTGACCACCTGTAGCCTATCTTGAACTTTTTATGCATAAGAGACCCTTATTGACTCCAGTACACTCCAACACAAAACACATCTTGAAAACCTGGAAAATCTGATACACGTAACTGATACAAGGGATGTTTAGACATACAAATAAATAAATTCCTGATTTTGAAGGAATTCATTTCTACAAAAGTTTAGTAAATGTTAATAATAATTATTTTTCATTGTACATTGCAGCTTAAAATACACATTTCTCAGTAATTTAAAACTCCCTTGAAAAACCACTCATTTAAAAATCTCTTCTCCATGATTTAGAAACCACTGGTGTGACTAAAATCTGACAGCAATCTAGAAAATATTTTGACCTACATGTTAGCTGAATAGAGCTGATTCTTGACATTACAATATTAAATTAAATATAGGTCCAGATTTAGTACAAGAGTTCCGCTAAATGCTAAAAGGATTTCCTCTCCCTTTCTCTATTGATGATTATTATTCATCTGACAAAATTCAGTACATTACTCTAAAATACT